ATTCTAGAGAGACACCTGTAAGACTTGCAACATGTCTTCTTCACAACGGCCTCGCACTCTTCGAGGCTGCATCTACGTTCATAGGTGGCATCCGACTCGTTCGATCCTCGTCTGCGCGTGTGGTATGTGTACCTCCTTTTGCCTTGTCTACCAAACAACGAACACCGGGGAGGAACAGATAGTCCCTCCGCTGCGGCATCATCGACTTCTGAACGTCGATCTATCGAAGCTTGCTCTCGTTCCTCTTGGTCTCTCAGCAGTCGCTCCCGTTCAAACTCGGCGATTGTTGTTTGGGAAAGTACGAAATCGTACGGGTCATCATCGYCGTCGCCCAGAGAAGGAGGTTGAACGAAACCCGAGGGGCACGGTTCTGTAGAGACACCGACGGAAGCGACTTCTGCACCTCCGTTGATGATATCTTCGAGACGGAGACGTCTAACGACATTGTTGCCCGTCACCGTCTGGCGGCGACGAACACCACATCGTTCATGTGACCTATCAGTGGAGTCCACCCAACCCCGACGTTTCGATGGTGAAGCAAAGCCTGAAGGCAATCGACTTTCACCCAAAATAGCAATTTTGGCTTCATTTGGTGTATGAAGCAATCGAATGGATGGTTCGGATGTCATAGTCACATTAGCGCTCGACATGGTGAACCTGGCAGAGCGAGATAGGCACAACATTCGGCCATGACAGAGTGAGAGTCTATCTTTGGCTTCTGTTATCATTCAGGACACTCACTCGTCTACAACGTATCTACCAAACTCACTTGTCCAGAACGAATCTACCATACGAGTGCGGTGTGCTAGCGACGGGGGTACTGCGTTTGACAAACGCTGTACCCCCGTTGACGGGGGTCGATCGTTTGACGAACGCAGGACCCCCCCCCCCCGACGGGGGTCCAGTGTTTCGATACACGCTGTACCCTCGTTGGGGGGGGTCCTACGTTTGTCAAACGCTGTACCCGTGTTGGGGGGGGGGGGGTTCCTGCGTTTGACAAACGCTGGACCCCCCGGCGACAGGGGTACCGCGTTTGACAAACGCAGAACCCCATGCGTTTGTCAAACGCTGGACCCCCCCCCCCAACGAGGTTCAGCGTTCGACAAACGCGGGGGTCCAGCCTTTGTCAAACTCAATACCCCCGTCGCCGGGGGGTACCACGTTTGACAAACGCTGGACCCCCCGGCGACGGGGGTACCGCGTTTGACAAACGCTGGACCCATGTCAGGCAGGGGTACAACGTTTGTCAAATGCTGTACCCCCACCAACGGGGGTCGAGCGTTTGACGAACGCTGTACCCCCGTTGGGGGGGTCCTACGTTTGTCAAACGCGGTACCCCCTGGGAGGGGGGCTGCGTTTGTCAAACGCAGGGCCCCCCGGCGACGGGGGCACCGCGTTTGACAAACGCTGGACCCCCGACGTTTGACAAACGCTGGACCCCTGACTTTTGACAAACGTTGGACCCACCCCAACGAGGGTACAGCGTTTGACAAACGCTGGACCCCCGTCAACAGGGGTACCGCGTTTGGCAAACGCAGGACCCCCAGGCGACAGGGGTACCGCGTTTGACAAACACAGACCCTTGTCAGCCAGGGGTACAGCGTTTGTCAAACGCTGTAGCCCCACGAACGGGGGTCGAGCGTTTGACGAACGCTGTACCCCCGTCGGGGGGGGTCGTGCGTTTGTCAAAGGCTGTACCCCCGTCACCGGGGGCGCAGCGTTTGACAAATGCGGTACCCGCGTTGGCGGGGGTACAGCGTTTGACAAACGCGGTACCCCCGTTGGCGGGGGTACAGCGTTTGTCAAACACTGGACCCAACGAACGGGGGTACTGCGTTTATCAAACGATGGGCCCCCGCCTGCCAGGCGAGGCGTGGCGAGGGTCCAGCGTTTTCCAAACGCAGGACCTCCGGCTACACCTTTTTCTTTTTGGAAACTTAACAACACCTTTTTCTTTTTGGAAACTTAACAACAAATCC